AATTTGTCTAGCTTTTTGTCTGCTGCTTTTTGATGTTTGACTAATAATTAATTACTACTATTATTGAAAAAATACTGTATATAGCCTGAATACAATGAATGAATTAATATAATTTATTCTATATTTTATTTTTGTAAGGCTATGAATCCTCAGAAGTTGATATTTGTATTACCTTATTTAAGTAAAAGTTATAAAAAGGTATTTTTGATTACTACAGTGGTAATCGTTCTGCTTGATGATGGCAAATATTGATTCTATACATAAATCTTTTCCTAACTTTGAACAAATCATCCCATCATCTATTGTAATAATAGGTAAATTCTGACTTTTCCAGAAACATTGAATTAAAAAATATTCATTTTTATTTTCTTTTTAAATATTTGCAATTTTGTCTTGCTTAAAATCACACATGCCAAGCAATTGATTTAAATATAATTTTTTAGACTATTAATTGTGTCTAATCTTTTTTAAATTTGAAAATTTATATCTAATATTTTTTAACATTTGGAATAGATCTGATGTATTTTAATTGCTGATATCTAATTAAGTTGGGAATCAATTTTTTAACAATTTGCTTTTATAATTTTGAAAAATGAAATTATTTTTATATTGGTCATCTATGATGATTTTGCTATTCCATATGTTATAAAAAAGTGGTGCTCTTTTATATTTCAGAATTGAAAAATAAAATTAAGCTATATATTTTTTAATGTAAACTTAAGTAATTAATCTATAATTATTGTATTAATAATAGTTGTAATATGAAGAGAATGGATTAAACTGTTGCAATACTTCATGAATATCTAACATTTAGATTTTCTTTCAACATTTTTGCTTTAAAAAAAAGAAAATAATTTTAGATAATATCCAATAAAGTTTAAAGGTAAGGTTTCAGAATAATTTTTATGATGATACTATTTCTTTTGCTCGAAGATGTGATAAATTTTGGAAAAATAAGATATGTTGTGTTATTGTATATTGCACATACTATTTTTGGAGAAAGATAAGAATAAATCTTTAGCTAATGGGAGATATTTATATATATATATAATGAATTAAATCAATTAATAAAAATATTCAAAGATAAATATCTCTATATAATATGAAGTTATTTCTGATATTGAAAAAATTCAGATTATGCATTTGCATTTTTAAATCTAAAATTTTATTAAAGAATCACCAATTGATAAATAAGAAAAAAGGGAATAGCGATTTTATTTATGCAATTACTTTTATATAATTTCAAATTATAAGTTATTGCAGCCTCAAGATCAGTCATCAGTCATATTTAATAGGAACTCTTGATACTATGTTTCAGATTTAGATGTAAATTTCCACCTTCATTTATATGAATAATAAAGGTATGGTGTATTATCTCTTATTTAAATCAATTTTTTATGTTTCTTGTCTGCTATGTTCAACTTCCAATGCATAAATTAATATTATTTAATAATTAATTAATTAAGACACTTTCTTGTCTTGGTAACTATAATTCAGATTACCTTTTAAAATTGAAATCAATTGGAATTGGTAAATAATTTTTTTAATATCTAAATAGTTAAAGATCATTATTATTCTATTTCATAAAATTAGTTTTTTAAAATTTAATCAAGACATAATTCTGTTTAAACTACATGCACACTCAATCTATTTACTGTATTTATGTTATATTCCAAATGACTTATTATCATTCTTAGCTTTATTATTTTTTATTTTTATTTTTAATTATGTTTTCAAATAAATTTTTCAAAATGTTCTTGATTATAAAATTCAGCTGTATTGTTAAAATATATATTTTATAAATAAACATTATTATATTAATACAAAGTTATAACTATTTAATTTTAATTAAAAATATGAAATAAAGAATATCATATTATTAATAATTGAATATTAATCTCAAAATGGATAAATTTATTCTAGAGAATAATCTATTCTTAAATAACTTTTGACAAGAATTAAATACTTATGTAAATTATTAGTCAAAAATGATATCAATATGATCATTAACATTATTACATAATTATTACTGAACTGAATCATCAACATAATTATTACTCATAGAATAATTTAAATAGAATTTTTTCAATCATTTAAAATCATAAATAAATAAATTAGACAATATAGAATTAAATGTAAATATAAAAAGCAATAAACTGTGATAATGTAAAAGAGCAGATTAGCATAACAAACTAGCTGGTTATTATACTTATTTGTCAAGATTAACCAAATATAATGGCTCCAATAATTCGTTCCTCTTTATGTTTTGCTGGCGACTTCCTTAATACCTGCGATAGCTTTATATATGAAAAAAATAAATTCTTCAGAAGATCAAATCATCGTTCTTCTGCTTAGTATGAAAACTTACAAGAGTAACAACAATATCATTCTAAACTAGCATTGTGGAAGTTCTGTCAGCTATTGGTAGTTATACCACCACATATTCAAACATATTGAAATGTTTTCTTCATTTAACATAATTTATCAATACAATAATTACAGGGAAACCAGTGTCATTCAATTTTCTAGGAATAATGTTCTGAGAAGTCTAGAAAGTCCTTTAGTTGCATTAGTTGGATAAATTTTTAATTTATTTATCTTCACTTATCCATTTATCAAATTCATTATTTTACTTTGAAACTATGATTATCGACATTCTCTTCATGAAACATTGATTCAGATAAAAAGATGTCTACAATGTTGATAATAACAAAATCAAAGATAAGATCAGGAAGAGGATGAATTTTTTTATGGACAAGGGAGACGATGACAAGGTTCATTATTATTATAATTATTATTTAGTTAATTTAGTAAATTTAGTTAATAATAATGATGAATATGATTTCAGCATGTCGAATTGGTGATTGTCCAATATTTTCTTGGATTGCTGATTACCTGTTCGTTATCATATCACTGAACTGATATATTGTATATTACGTGTATTTAGCATGAAAAACACTTATTTGGGTATTATAAATATTATTTAAAGTCCATGTTATTTTATAGAATTTTTATTTATTTTATTTTTATTATTTTATTAATTTTATTTCATTCTTCTATTTTTTTTTTGTATTCCATTCTTTTATTTCTTCCTTTTTTTTTGTGCATTATTATTATTAATTTTCTTAATACAAAAATATGGACTAAATGAATATCCTGATGAATTTTTTCTGAATTCTATACTGGTTTTATATTTTTTTATTTATTGAGTTATTTATGTGAATTAAATAAAAAGATGATGATGATTAACGATAATAATGATGATGAGGATGATGGTGATAATGATGATAATAAATATTCTTATAATATTTAGATCCAAGTACTTTCACATCAATTAGTGTTGGTTATTTTTATTTTATTTAATTTAAAATATTTTATTCTGTTGAATTTGTGTAAATTAGATGAGCTTAAAAAGCATCAGAAATTGATTATGCATTATTTAAGGACAGATCTTTCTTTTCGATATAAACTTAGTGGTAATTTATATTATTTATTATTTACATTATTTGATATTATTTATATTACTTATATTATTTAATATTATTTATATTATTTATATTATTTAAAATATTTATATTAATTGCTAATCCACCGATCATGTGTAGTCAAACTGGAATTGCACGTACCGCATAGCTAAGCTTATTTATACTTTTTTTTTAAAAAAAAAAACTTTGAAACTAAATTTATTACTAAAGTATTCTGATATAAGATTATGAAGTTCAGAATTTTACAAAATAATTATAAATATTGTCAATTGTCGAAAATTATATGACTTTTAAGAAATTTTGTATTTTTTGAGTTTTTAATATTAAATAACTTCACAGAAACAGAATTTAGAAATTTAGAAATACTTGCCCACCCTTTAAATTATAAATATATAATACCTACAAGTTATTTTATTTTTAAATTATTATGTATAAAATTTTTTTACATTAGACTACACATGATAATTAAATTAGCAATTAATTAGTATTCATAGGTGTTTAATGCTGTCGAAACAAAAATGTTGCTTTATCTTTTTTGGATGTACAAAATTTTTTCACAAAACGAATCACATCACAATTATTCTCTGATTCACATCTCTAAAAAAAATACCAAAGCAAATGACCACAACGTGAAAGGTAAATGTATTGGCTAAATACTTTGCACTCAATTTAATTAATATTTAATATATAAATCTATTTCTGGAAAAAGACGAATCCTTCAAAATTATTAGATGCTAATAAACTTGCATCTTCATCTCAATTATTAGCAGAGTTGTTAATAATTTATTTATTGAAATAGAAAAATATAGTTTGCTCATTCAAAGTCCACCGGATCTCCAATCACCACTACTACCAACTAATTCCAACAACACTAATACTTGTCAATTATTATTGTTTGATCAAGACAAATTTTTTTATTCTACTTCTTCCCTTTCTTATCTTTTTTTTCATCGTATTCACAAACATCAACTATAGTTAATACTAAATATCCTTTTTCACTTTATCAACCCCATCTTCTTCTATGGCAATATTGTATCTATGGAGGATACATATTGTTTAGTGAATTACGAATGTTATTTATTCTGTTTCAATTAATTTCACACATCGTGAATCATCAGAAGAAGAGACTAATCATTTATTGATTTTCGTCGAGCGTATGCAAATGTTAACATGTTAATATATTAATCAATGTTACCATTAATTATAAATCACATCACATCATTTTCATTAGTGAAACCAGTTTATGTTTTTCGTAATTGATTAGAAAACTTGCAGAATAATGATGGACAAACTTTGTATATTCATTGAAGTATGAATTTAACCTAATTTTATTTTGAATTAATATATTTTTTTTCATCCATTGCTTACTTCTTATATTACTTACAGATATTTATATTAATATAAAAATACAAAAGGTTCATTTAAAAATGGAATCTGACATAAAAAACAAATCCATCTAACAAGAGATACCGAATCAATTGATTCTCAAGATAATAAAATTCAAATAGTTCGATAATGAATAAATCTCAAGATAAATGGAGTTTTCATCGCCATATAATGTAAAGATTTCGCTTATTATTTTATAATTATTTGCATAATATTTTATTATGTTTTATTCTATATTTATTAATGAATATATTTTTCTTGGTATTCTAAAGTGAAACTATCTTCTTTCGTTTTAGTATTATCTATTAGTTGATGGTAATGAAGAAGTTAATGGTGATGATAAAGGTACCGGAATCCTTAAACTATATCATTCAACAAATGAGGTAGTGATGATAGTCGAGTTGTTGATAATGATGATAATAATCAAATCGAATCTTTAGCAAAAAAAAATGATGATGCATAATGTATTAATGACTGATGATGATCTTGATGATGGTGACAAAGAAGAACATCGACCAAAGAAAAAGCGTAACATTAAGGCTAGGTCTAAACGGCTACCACGTAAAAATAATAATATTAATAATAGTTATTATAATAAAAAGAAAGAAATATATTTCAGCTTATAATACTAGAAAAAGAACTCTTCATCAATCTTCTACGGCATCTTCAAATACTGCTACATCATCATCATCCTATCCATTATTCATCATCTATTACTCCTTAAAGTTATGATCCTGCAACCAACAGTAAAACAAAACCAAAAATTTTAACTAAAATTTTCATCATTCAAATCAATATCAACAAGAAAAAGTGGACGAGGTTTTAGTCATAGTAAATGTGAAAGAAATAGGGTCAAATGAATTGAATAAAGATAAAAATAATTATGAAGATCTTGATAATGACAAGGGTAATTATAATGGAAAGAAGATTGAGAAATCATCACCACCTTCTTTATCGAAAAATAATTATGAAGGTGAAATAATAATAGAAAGAAAGATTGAGAAATCAGCATCATTGAATATTAGATCCACTTGGAGTACGGAAGAAGATAATTATTAGTTACAATGTATAATGGATGATACTCGACACTTCCTTTGTCATTTATTTCTCAAGGACTAGAACAAGTGAAATGAAAAATTCTTGGCATTATGGAAGCAAATTTTTGAAAAAAACGATAGCTTAATAATAATTGGCTTAACTTAAATAATTTGACCTTCAATAATTTTTACTACTGTGGCGAAGTAAATTGGTAATCCATGACGGGGGATGATAAATGGTGATACAACGATGATTGTACGATCACCTGGGATAATAACCGGTGTTGTCATCCAAAAAGATATCGTGTAAGGATGAAGTACGAAGGATGACGGATAAAAATTGAATGAAGGTGAAAAGGTATAAATGAAGTAGCAATTTCTCAGAGTCTTGAGGGAGTAATAATACTACCTTTGACTTCAGTTAGTTAATAATTACGCATAGTTTCGAAATTAATATTATTAGATAGAAAGGTAAACTTCATTTAGGGACAGGAAATAGATACGTAACCCGTGGTATTTCTGTTGTTAAATTATACTTTACTTTTAAATTTGTACCTTCTATATTTTTAATAAATTTATCTTTTGTGTCGCGATATTGCGAAATATTGTTAAATATTATTTGATACTGTGTTAACACTTTTACGCCACCTTACTCACTGAGCCTTCAGATTAAAAATGAAGAATTAAAAAAATTAAAAGGAATTATATTATATTTATTATCTGTTTTGAGATAGGCAAGTTTAGATAAACTGATTGCTTGACCTACTGGCAGATAGAGCGTATTTAAAAAAGTAGTTTGTGAAAGACGAACTTTGAGACTGATAGGTGAAAGTGTTCAAAATACTCTGCACAATTGTGACACTACTACCACTACTACTATTACTTCAGTAATTTTATGTAATTTTTCTAAAAATTTCTTTTATAATATTTTAATTATTAAAGAATTATAAATAAATTCTTCCCTTTAAACATTATACAGTATGCAAATATATATATATATATTTTGTAAAAATTGAATAAATTCATTTCAATTACTATGGGATTATGAAGTAAATATTTTTAATATTGTTAAATTTTTCTGAATAGAAAAAAAATTAACAATAATAATAATAAATCAAAAAAAAAAAAAAGAATTAAAAATAAAAGAGATCGAAGGGAAGTGATGAAGAAGTTAAAGAAGGTACGAAAAGAAGTGAAAGAAACAAGAAAAACGGAAGAAACGAAAGCAACTGAAGAATCTGAAGAATTGGAAGAATTGGAAACGTAGGCATATTGTTACATTAAACTTTATTTTAAAATCATAATTTATTGATAATAATAAATTATATATATATTAAATTACATTTCTAATCTATTATAAATTAAATTACAGATTGTGAATATTTAGAAATCAATGTTTCAATTTAATTCAATATCATATAACAATTCTCTAATCAATTATAAACTTATCAATTAAATATAAATTATATTACAATAGATGATTATTTAGAAAAATGTTTCAATATCATAATTAATTATTATTATTATTTTTTAGAGTGTAGAGTGTAGTGTCTTCGAGAGTATACTGGAGAAAATTGGTACCATCCATGCACTGTCAAACGATTACAAAATGAAATACTCTCAAAGTTAGAAAAATAAAATGGTAAATATTAAATAAAAATTCCAAATACCTATATAAAATATTCCTTGTATCTTTTCATGATTGATTGTTCGCCATCAGAAAAAAATTAAATTAAGATATCGATAAAATAAATAAAATATTCTTTTTTTTTATTTGTATTTGATGTTTAAAGAAACTATAAATGCTGTAGAATAAACTGTACAAATGATGTTGATTTGATTTCTTTAAAACAAAATAAGGATTATCTGAAAAATTTTCATATCTGTTTAGGAGAAGTCGCAGTATAAAATTCATATTTTATATTTGTTTTTATGCACTCACAAAAATTCCATATTAGAAGTATTTATTCCTTTTATATTTTTTTAATCATGCAAATCCGTTGTTTTTTTAGTTTAGCTCTAGCTTATGAAAATCATTTCCCTCAATGCCTAAATGGATTTAAAACCTCGGATAATTTTTTATTTGCATGAAGTATAATATGGAAATTGCGCAAGTGTGAAAGTACTATGCAAATCACAAGGTACAAAAAAAAAGTTGTTTTTCATTCTTTTATCAAAAATTAAATGAAATAAAAAGCTTTAAATCATATTGAACTGACATTGAGTGACTAAGAGAAATTGTTTCTCAGGTATAGGAATGCTTGAATTTAAATTTTTGCTCGTATATCATTCATGTGGACCAAATTACTATTTTTTTTTTAATGACAAATTTTTTATTCTTAGAAATTTGTTAAATTATTTCTGTGACTTTGATCAAGAAAACTGGCATTGAGCGATTAAGTGAAATTGTTTCCCAGGTATTTGAATTCTTGAATTTAAATTTTCGCTCATATATCATTCGTGTGGATCAAATTACAATTTTTTTTTTAATGACAAATTTTTTGTTCTTCTTAGAAATTGAGAAATTATTTCTGTGGATTTGATCAAGAAAACTGGCATTAAGTGACTAAGTGAAATTGTTTCTCGGGTATAGGAATGCTTGAATTTAAATTTTTATTCGTATATCATTTGTATGGACGAAATTACAATTTTTTTTAATGATAAATTTTTTATTCTTAGAAATTTGTTAAATTATTTCTGTGGCATCAAGAAAACTGGCTTTGAGTGACTAAAAGAAATTGTTTCCCAGGTATAGGAATGCTTGAATTTAAATTTTCGCTTGTATATCATTCGTGTGGACCAAATTACAATTTTTTTTTAATGACAATTTTTTATTCTTCTTAGAAATTTGAGAAATTATTTCTGTGGCTTTGATCAAGAAAACTGGCATTGAGCGATTAAGTGAAATTGTTTCCCAGGTATTTGAATTCTTGAATTTAAATATTCGATCATATATCATTCGTGTGGATCAAATTACAATTTTTTTTTTAATGACAAATTTTTTATTCTTCTTAGAAATTTGTAAAATTATTTCTGTGGCTTTGATCGAGAAAACTGGCATTGAGCGATTAAGTGAAATTGTTTCCCAGATATAGGAAAGCTTGAATTTAAATTTTCACTCGTATATCATTCGTGTGGACCAAATTACAATTTTTTTTAATAACGAATTTTTTATTCTTCTTAGAAATTTGAGAAATTATTTCTGCGGCTTTGAGCGACTAAAAGAATTGTTTCTTAGGTATAGGAATACTTGAATTTAAATTTTTGCTCATGTTTCATTCATGTGTACCAAATTACATTTTTTTTTTTTAATGCAATATGCTCACGAATTTTTATTCTTAGAAATTTGTGAAATTATTTCTGTGACTTTGACCTAGAAAACTGGCATTGAGTAACTAAGTGAAATTGTTTTACAGGTATAGAAATGCTTGAATTTAAATTTTTGCTCATATATCATTCATGTGGACCAAATTACAATTTTTTTTTAATGACAAATTTTTTATTCTTCTTAGAAATTTGTTAAATTATTTCTGTGACTTTGATCAAGAAAACTGGCATTGAGCGATTAAGTGAAATTGTTTCCCAGGTATAAGAATGCCTGAATTTAAATTTTTGCTCGTATATCATTCGTGTGGACCAAATTACAATTTTTTTTTTTAATGCAATATATCACAAATTTTTTATTCTTATAAAATTTGTTAAATTATTTCTGTGGCTTTGATCAAGAAAACTGGCATTTAGCGACAAAATGAAATTATTTCCAAGGTATAGAAACGCTTGAATTTAAATTTTTGCTCATATATCATTCGTGTGGACCAAATTACAATTTTTTATTCTTAGAAATTTGAGAAATTATTTCTGTGGCTTTGATCAAGAAAACTGGCATTGAGCGACTAAGTGAAATTGTTTCCCAGGTATAAGAATGCTTGAATTTAAATTTTCGCTCGTATATCATTCATGTGGACCAAATTACAATTTTTTTTTAATGCAATATGCTCAACAAATTTTTATTCTTAGAAATTTGTTAAATTATTTCTGTGGCATCAAGAAAACTGGCATTGAGTGACTAAAAGAAATTGTTTCCAGGTATAAAAATGCTTGAATTTAAATTTTCTCTCATATATCATTTGTGACCAAATTACAATTTTTTTTAGTGCAATATGCTCATGAATTTTTTATTCTTAGTGGTTTAGTCAAGAAAACTGGTATTTAGCAACAAATTGAAATTGTTTCCCAGGTATAGAAATGCTTGAATTTAAATTTTCGCTTGTATATCATTCGTGTGACCAAATTACAATTTTTTATTCTTAGAAATTTTTGAAATTATTTCTGTGGCTTTGATTAAGAAAACTGGCATTGAACGACTAAGTGAAATTGTTTCCCAGGTATAAGAATGCTTGAATTTAAATTTTCACTCATCTATCACTTATGTGGACCAAATTACAATTTTTTTTAATGACAAATTTTTTATTCTTAGAAATTTGAGAAATTATTTCTGTGGCTTTGATCAAAAAAACTAAATTGAGTGACTAAGGGAAATTGTTTCTTAGGTATAGAATTTAAATTTTTGCTTGTATATCATTTGTGCGGATCAAATTACAAATTTTTTTTTTTAATGATAAATGTTTTATTATTAAAAGATTGTTAAATTATTTCTGTAGCTTTGATCAAGAAAACTGGCATTGAGTGACTAAGCGAAATTGTTTCCCAGGTATAGCAATTCTTGAATTTAAGTTTTCATTCGTATATCATTTGTGTGGACCAAATTACAACTTTTTTTTTAATGCAATATGTCATAAATTTTTTATTCTTTGAAATTTGTTAAATTATTTCTGTGGCTTTGATCAAGAGAACTGGCATTGAGCGATTAAGTGAAATTGTTTCCCAGGTATAAGAATGCTTGAATTTAAATTTTTGCTCATATATCATTTGTGTGGACCAAATTACAATTTTTTTTTAATGATAAATTTTTTATTCTTCTTAGAAATTTGTTAAATTATTTCTGTGACTTTGATCAAGAAA